GGCAGGATGACCAAGCTCTGCAACGACTTTTTGGCACAGCCTGGTTTGTACAGATCCTGGATCACAGTCCCTGCTCAGTTTCAAGGCCTGGTTTGAATCTTCAGGGTAAACTTTGATGGCTGTTATTACCTCAAACTCTTTGTTTTCTTCCAAGATGTCTCGTGGGAGGCCAAGTTTCCCCTCCTGTTTTCTGACAGATGTGAGAGTAGCTAAATGAAGCAACAAGATAAAAGAAGACATCAAGACAGTAGGATGTTATAAAACACATCCAACATTGTGAAAATAGGATTTTTTTATCATGTGTTCTTCCTAACAATCTTCTGGAAAACAAAATACTTTGATATTAGTTTCAAAAAGAAAACCTTAACCGAATCACTTCCTTGGTGCCCTAGGTTTCATACAAAGTCATTATATGAATGTACCCGTTTGAAAGAAAAATGCTTTAGGACATCAGTCACGTTTGTAAATTTGTATAGTTATTAAAATACCAGGGCCAATTTTGTTCATCTTAGAGTATAGTATTTCAGGATGAAACGAAATATCAGAAAATGCTTGGAATTTGATTAATTTTTCCATCAGAAAAAAAAATAACGCATTTTACTTGACATTAAAGCTCTTAGTTGTTTATTTCTTCAGGATTTTCCTTTGCGTGTGCAAATAAAAATCGGTTAATGTGTTCTTTCCAATTATCCATAGACAGGAAGTATTCCAATTGCGTGTTATTTGAAGCAATGCACCATCCAGAATGAATGACCAAAAGAAGGCTTTTCCTTAATTTCTGTGACAGTACAAATTTGCCAACACACTGTGTCAGGCAGAGACCAGGCAGCACTGGGAGTGAAGCCACACTTCTCTCCAGAAAGCTCCTCCTGCCTTCGACGGAAAAACAGACAGACAGCCTTCCCTTGTAGAATGTTGGGGGAGCTTCTTAATAGACAAGAAATGTCTTCCTGGCCAGCCACACTGGCGATGGGCACAGGGCCCAGTAGTACTGGGGGAGTACCTTGACTTCAGTCTACAAATAGGATTTAAACACAGAGGCTCTCGAATGTTAGACTGAGCTGGAGGAAGAGATAACTTGTCCTGGGCGACAGTTGCTAAGGGAGGCAGTGATGGCGTGGGCCAGGCATTGATGGCACAGGAGGCAGCAGTTCCTAGTACAAGCAGAGGCAGCAGCCTCTTACCCTGGCTGCCTACCTGTGGGAAGAAGAAGTCTATGGAAATAAAGAGAAGAACTGTGCGCCTTGGGGCCAATGGTCTGTTGAGGGAAGACCCTCCGACAGGGCTGGTCCTGCAAAATAGAAGCTACTGTCTTGCTGGCTCAGGTGGGAACTGAGAGCTTGAGGTGTACAGGCCTGAGTGGAGTGGCCATGTCCCTTCTGGGAGCAGCACAACCTCAGCAGTGGGGTGGAGAGGCCGGAGATGGCAAGGACCACAGATTACCCCACAGGGGGCCTGCAAGGTGGGGCATCCCATCCATTGGACAAGAGCGCACCTCCCGCTCTGTTCCCTGGCAGGGGTATTCAGAAGAGATAACTGGGGAGTGGGATCCTAGGAAGAAAAGGAGGAGACAGTACCTGCCGTCCCAGTGGTTAGATTTGGTGTTGTTATAGAAGTGCCCGTTCATACTCCTTGCTAAGGGGGCCAGGAGACAGGTGATGGCTTCCTCCAGTTCTCTTGCTCATATTTGGCTCTTATTTTGGAGGAGCTGACTTCCTAAAATGTTTACATTTTTGCTTTGAAGGCACTTTTTAATGAGAAAAAGAAAAAGCTCTCATAGATAAGCAGTAAGTTACTTTTATTGTTATTTCAGCTGCATCTAATAAGGAAAGCAATAGTATTTTCTAATTCTGAGCAGCCTGGTTAGTGTCGGTGCTTCTCATTTCCTGCATTCTTTGGTGCATTCAAAGCAAATCCAGCAATGACAAGGTTTGAAGAATCTTTAGCAAAGTAGATAGTCATTTTGCAGAAGTAAAGTATGACAGGGCTGAATTAGTTGCACCATTGGGCACGGCACGGAAATTAACTCCTGTCAGCTAGAGGAGGACCCTCCTCAAGTAGGAAGCCAGGAAGTTCACCAGATTTCCCAAGTGAAATGATTGACAAGATTGACATTGATTGACAACCACTGGTTGACATTCACAGTGGTGATGTATGAAAGTATGGCAACAGGAAGGAGGAGAGCCCCAAGCAGTTAGGAATGTTTGGAAGTAACACTGAAGACTGCCCCTCACTCCCACACTCTGGGCCAGTGCGCACACTCACACACAAGCACACATACCTCCCACGCAGATGACATGCATGTGTGACATGTGCATGTCACATGCACACATCACACGTGCACCACGTAGACACATACACATATGTGTGACATGCACATATCATAGGAAATCACACATAGATCATGTATAAACTACACAGTATGCACACGTACTTCACACATTACACAAACAACACATACATGTATAGCTACATATCACACATACATCACACAAATCACACAGAGACAGATCATAGACACACATGTACCACATGCATGTACTGCACATACAAATCACACACAGCATACACAGCACACACAGATCTTACATTCAAATCATGTACACACATACCAGACATAAGGCACACACAAATCACACACACATATCACACATGTGCACATATCACACACACATACACACAGAGCAATACCCACAGTTAGTATTTTAGTCATCTGTACTACTAGGGGGCAGATAAAGTATGGACACATAAGAGGACATTTTCGGGGGGCCGTGAGGATGTGGGTGAGCTCTGGGAATACTCCACCTGCAGTGCCTGTGAAACCAGTGGGTTAGACAGGACAATTAGAAGACCTCTTCTAGACTGAACAACACTTTCCCCCACTTCTAAGGGGCATCTGTGTTTACTCACAGAGAGAAGCTCATCATACCATTTTCCAATGTCTAACTCTGTCCTGCTTTGCCCCTCCATCCCCAAAATGCTTTTCCCAGGGTTTTAGGAGGCTAATAACCAAAATCCCTATTTTCCACCTGTGTTCAGAACCTATCGAGAGATAGACAAGGGCATCAGGTGGTAGGAAGAACAGACTATCACTTTTATTACTGTTGCAACTGTTTGGAGAATGTGATTTAGGTCTGGGCCAAATGGACTTACTACTATTCCCCTGGATTAACCCATCTCCTCACCCCCAGCACAGAGGCATGTGGGTCCACTGGGCTCCCTGCTTGGCTAAGAACAGAGGAGATGAGAGTGACCACTTTCCTCAGAGGGAAGACCCCCCGAGAGGGGCAGAGGCCAGGCTAAGCTGCATAGTATCAGGATCCTTCTCCCAGCCTCTGCAGTCAGATAAATTCGTCCTACTGTCATAAGGAGGAGTGACTACAGTGTGCAGAGGGAGGACAGTGTGATTCTCTGAGAAGTCCCATCAAAGGGAACCTTGAAGGTTTTGGAATAAAATCTCCCCCAGTAAGTTGGAGTCATAGCCACTCACGCTCACCATGTCAGGTGATGATGGGATAAGATGATCTGGGCTAGTGGGGGAGTCTTAGAGAGGAGCACAGGACTTTGGAAACTGACGCCCTGCCTTCATTGTTGAAGCCACTAGTGACCTGTTTGGTGAGAAGCAAGGTTATGAGGAGGGGGACAGTAGGGCATTTTATCCAGGTATGGCCATCCATCCTCTGGCAGACCTGTGGGTCTAACCCTGAACACATAAAAGCAAAAATCAATAATGATCAGTTTTGTATATTATTACTACTCGCTCCATGTAAAAAGTGTACTAATAAGAGCACACACTGAGAAGACCATTGTCATACACTTTGGTGAGAATATCAGTGGAACATTTCCTCAGAGCAATTTTGCAATATGTGTTAAGAACTTAAAAATATTCATGGCTTTCAACTCATTGTATTTTGCTAATCGAGCTTAAGGAAATGATGAAATATGAAGCCAAAGCTTTGTACACAAGGTTGACCACTGTAGCATTACACAAATGCAAAGAATATTAATAAAGTAAGTGTGAAATAGTATGGACATAACTAAATTCTGATGTAGTCATAGAACTGAACATCATCTAAGCATTCAAAATCCTGTTTCCACAGAATTTTTATGATGCGAAAAAAATCTGATTAAATGTTAAATTTAAAAAGCAAAGCAAAACGCTACATTCAGAATGAACTCAGCTCTTTTGGAGCAAAATGGAGGTCTTGAAAAAACAAAGTATGACACCAAATTTGAGAATCTGGAAGGATGTGGAGTGGGTAGACAAGGCCATATGGACAGCAGAGTGTTCTTCCTGAGAAGGGCAATTATAGGTTCATTTAGTTCTTCTTTGTATTTTTCTGTTTCCCCCCCAAATTTTTGTGAACATGAATTGCTTTTATCATCAACAGAGTAACAAGTTATACATTTTCAAAAACTATCATATTCCTATATAAACAAGAGATAATGGGGAATATCACTTCTCCAGGCTCAGTGAATACAGTTTTGGGGTGAGGGAAGCCTGTGTCAGTCACCTAGTGTCACAATAATGCTGTGTAACAACCATGACATCTCAGAGGCACACAGTAGTAGACTATGGTTGGCTGAGTGTCTCTGCTTCATGAGTCTATCATTTTTCTGGGACCAGTGGGCTAGCCAGGGCATGTTCTTTTCCTGATGAGACACAAGAGAGGCACCCAAAAGATGCAAGGACTTCTAAGCCTGGGCTAGACCTGGCACTGGCTTGCTCCCGCCCACATTGCATTAGCTGCAGCAAACCACATGACTGAGCTCAAAGACAAGGGAGGGACTGCATAGTCATCTGGCAAAGGGCATGGATCCAAGAAGGGCATAGAATCCCTAAAGGTAATAGCTGTTTTCTGTTAAGTAGATAAAGCAGAAAAAATTAACTTCCTGCAGAATCATCTCTTTGAAGACTGTTGCTACTGTGCGTTTTGTTATTGTTGTGTTCATGTGTTAGAACCACTCACCCTGTTGAGTGTCCCTTTCTGTCTCTTTAGATCCTGGCCAACGTGATCATTTTCATCTGCGGGAACCTGGCGGGAGCGTACCATAAGCACCTCATGGAACTTGCGCTGCAGCAAACATATCAGGACACATGCAATTGCATCAAGTCCCGGATCAAGCTGGAATTTGAAAAGCGTCAGCAGGTAAATGCATTTTCAATCTTCCTTCCACATTATTTGAGGCATTATTAAAAGGATGTTCTTACTGTTAATGTCAGGTGTGCAGTTCATTCATTCACGGGCATCAGAAAGAAACCGGGGCAGCTAATTGCCCGTGCCCACCCAGCCTCGGGCCGTGCGCTTGGTGGAGTGATAAACCAAAGAGCAGAGGTGGCATCTTCAGACCCAGACCCAGTGATCACAGGAACAGCCACATGCAGACAGCCATGTCAACCACCATCAACACGTGGCTGGGGAAATTCAAATAATAATAACAATAATAATAATGCTTCATTAAGGCACTCACTTTTGGTTAAAGCACTTTTCTCTGTGATAATGTTTGTGACAAGTATTTGCCCCAGCTGAAATCTGAGCTGTGCCATCACGGCACTTTGTATAGTGCCTGTTGTCCACATGGGATGAAACGATCACATCGTTCTTGAGGGAGGTGATTGGAGTTGGGAAGGAGGGTCTAGTAGGGAACTGGTTGTTGTAGTGTCAGAGGCTGTCCTGCAGTGATTGCTGTGGGTGATGGATAGACACGTACATCACAGAAATACATGGTTTATGATGAATGAAGCATCACAAGAATAAGAAATGAAGCAAGTAGGAGATGGGGGAAGCAAAGCCTTATAGTGTCATCACAGATGGTGGAGAGCTGGTGAAATATGCTTTGGAGAGGAAACCACAAAATACAAGGAGACCTGTATTTGACATGCTTAACTACAGGTGACGGTGGGATATCCATGTGAGTCGCTTTGTTTTTCTTGGGTTTGTGTATTTAACACCAGGGACCCAGTTCCCATCTATCAAGGTAACAGCATGACTGGCTATGAACACCCCACTCCACCTCTGAAAGCCTCCATCACATTACCTATGCTGATACCAGTATTTGGCACATAGAAGATGCTTCATTGTTATTTGTTAAGTTATATTGAGTTAGTCCATTCTATAAAATTTCTTCAAAATATATTATGGTGGTGGGAGCTAAAAATATCTTTTCAATTTTGATGCTAGACTTTTATTTGTATATCAACTGATGAATAGTAATCAAATTCACTTTTGAAAACAGAGAGTTCAGTTCACTCATTCAACAAATATCGATTGGGTACCAAGTTTGTGTCAGGCCTTATTCTAGGCTCTGGGATATGGCTGTAAACATTGCTTTCTCCCTGGTATTATTAGCAAATCTCATGGTTTGTTTATAAAAAAAGTATTTTGTTTTACAACAAAGGTATTCAGTAACGAATGTTTAATTCCATGATCTCTATGTATAGCAAACTCTGGATTCAACATTAAGAGATAGGACTGTTATCCATTATATCTTCATATACCTATGTTCAGTAATACTTTAAACCTACGTTCTAGAAAATTCCACAGTTTCAACAAACAGCATTTAGTGTTTGTGTTTCTTCCCTCTATAGAGTTCAAATGTGTTAGGATAGATGGTTTCCTTTATCAAACAGTAGTGACTGGGTCAGGTTGGTCCTGACAGGCATATTTAACTTTCTTTTCCATCACCTCCAGACTCTACTTCAAATAGCACCAAGGCTAGGGAGGACTGGAATTTCAAGTAGATAGATTATATAATCTAGTACTTACACGACCAGCTTTGACAAAAGCAATGTCAGACTGTTGACTTCGTCTGTGCTGCATACTTCTCTGAAGAGACCTTGAGCAGTCAGAGCCAGGTGTCACCCCTTGTCACGGTGATCTGTGGCATCAAAGTGGTCAGACAGGCCACACTTTGACTTTACGTAGCTCAAGAACCAGACCAATGAGGCAGCCCTTGTGCTAGAGACTTTATGGGACCAACATGGGAGGTATTATAAGGGCATTTACTAGTTTTTAAAAAAAAGCCAATGATCCTTTTTAAAATAAGGAAAGAGAAAAGGGTAACTTTGAAGAAAAATAAGACCTTATTCTAAAGATGTTTAATAAAATATAATTTGACACCACAAACGTATTTTGCCACCAAAATTGGGAGTCAACACCCAGGGTCTGGTGCCCTGAATGTAGTACTTTTCTTGTTTTAGAAAATATGTTCCTAGAATTAGAATGAATGCTTGTACTTTTTTTGGACCAGCATGTAATTAAACAGGAACAAAAAATTCTCTTAGTTAATAAAATCAGTAAGATATGGTCTGATAGATATAAGGAAACAGATAAAAATTGTCTATTGGCAATCTATGTGTCCTTCGTACAGAAAAGCAGTCTCTGAGAGGATGAGGCCTGGTGGGCCACACACCAGATTAAGCACCTCACAGAACAAATTAAGGTCCAAGGGTTCCACATGTCACTTCCCGCCCACCCTTCATCACAAACCATCTTTGCTTCATCCACAGTCACTACGGCAAACAGCAGTGTCCTTCAGAGTGCTTCAAATTCAGGGGTAGGGGTGTATGCTAAGCAGCTCCAAAACAATTTGTTTAAGCCGCTATTAGGATAAAATCAGTACCGTCTATTTTAATGTTATATATCAGCAGTTGCCTCAGAGCAAGTTGACACTCCCAGTGGTTGAGTGGCCGCCATCTTGAACGGTTACTCAACCGTGTTTCACAGCTTCACCCCCTGCTGTCCTTAATCCTTGAAGAAGAAGGCAAATGTCACATGAGCCCAGGAAGCTGCCTCTTCTGCAGCCCTGCTGGGGGCTATAAATAGTTGGTACTATTGGAAAGTACCTAGGGATTCTGAAATCTTTTCAAAATTGCTCAACTCTATACTTTCTTTTCTTCAAATTTTGTGATATTTTTCCTAGATGCAAATGAGATGAATTTCTAGAGATTAAAAACCATGTTTGAATAAAGTGGCTATTTGTGCTATAAGATTTGGGGAGAGGAGAGAATGAAAAATGTTAGCAGAGATTTTCTCAGAGTTCTGTTTTTGTCCTTAAAGTGCCCTCGCTGTATAAACAATAAAAATCCTGATTTTTTTACCAAGTGAGAAAACCAATGCATTGTATTAGCATGTGTTGCCATTAGTATGGAGGCCACCTTTGGGGACTGAAAGTGTTCTCAGTGAGTTTTGACTTTTGTCTTAAGCTTCACATCCTGCAGTAAAAACCACAGCCATTTCTTGAGCACCGTGTCAGTGCGATAGAAGGTTCTTCATCAAACCTGAGGAAACAGCGAGTGTTTCTCCCTGGGGTGTGTAATAGACTCTCAGGAATTGATGAGAGCTGGATTCAGAGCAAAACAAGAACTGTCTCTCCTAACCACCTGGGCAGTTGAAATACACGTTGCCTCTGTAGGAATAAAAACTGTTTACTTTTTAATACAAAGAAAATAAACCCTCTTCAATTTATATGTTGTCTTTGTTTTAAAGTAATGTAATTCAAATAATTTTTAATGGTTTCCCTTAATCTGGAGCCATGCTGTGGATTGAATATGAGAGAATATGCCTTGTGGTAGAAACTACTGATCAAGCGAGGCACCGACCCTGTGCTATGGCTAGATTTGCACCCCATTGTCGGGGGTTAGTGAACCAGTAGGCTTCCTGGCCATCCTTGGGGACAAAATTGTTTTTCCTCTCTGCGGACTTCAGTGGGTCAAGTAGGTGGGTGGTCCTTCTGTGTCCATGGTTGGGTAGATGATGAACGTACCCATCTCTATCCTAATATAATAGCAAGTAATATTATGGCATTACTAAACATATTGTATAAATCATTTATGATGCCAGGTAAAATGTTTCTGAAGTTGTTTTAGATTTGGACAGCTAAAATTTGGTCCTTTCTCATGAGGAAAAAGCAGAAAAGAAGGAACTAATATTTATTTGAGTCCTCTTAATGTGCCTGGTAGTCTATTTAGTACTTTTACATAGACTGTTGTATCAGTTTCCTATTGCTGCTGTAAAAAATTACCACAAGTGTGGTGACTTAGAACAGATTTATTATCATACAGTTCTGGAGGTCAGAAGTCCAAAATCAGTCTCATGGGCTAAAGTCAAGGTTTGAGCAGGGCTGGCTCCTCCTGGTGGCTTTGAGGGGAGAATCTGTTTCCTTGCCTTTTCAAGCTTCTAGAGGCTGCCTGCATTCCTTGGCTCCCAGCCCCTTTCTCCATTCTCAAATTCATCAGCATTGAATCTTCCAATCTCTCTCTCTCTCTCTGTCTCTCTCTGTCTCTTTCTCACCTCTGATTCTGCTGTAGTGTCTTCTTCCCTCTCTCTGATTCTAACCCTCCTGCCTACTTATAAAGATAATCTCACCATCTCAAGGTCCTTAATTTAATCACATCTGCAAAGGTCCTGGTTTGCTGTGTGAGATAACGTAGTCACAGATTTCATGGATTAGGACAGGGATGTCTTTGCAGGGCCATTATTCAGCCTATCATTCTGTCTTTATTCCTATATCAACTCTATGAAGTAAGTCTTTTTTCCCATTCCAGTCAAATAAAGGAACTGTCCAAAGTACTTGTCCAAGATCACTCAGCTAGTGGGTGTGGCTTTTTCTGACTCTTATGTTGGTCTGTATGGGTTTTTTGGGGTGATATCTGAGGATAGGTTAGCTAGAGATTTTCCCAGCCATGAAGGACATTTTTTTCTTTTTTTTTTTTAGTTAACTCTGTTGTTTTTTATTGCTAGTTAAATAAGAAAGCATAAGACAATATCAAACATTTGTCGGATTTTATCATCAGGCAATATGTTGCCACGATAAGCACTGTATCATCCATGCAAATGTTAGCAAGTTATATGGAAGATCAGTCACATAGGAAGCCACAATGTTAAATCTGCCTGTGAGTTTCTTTCTGTTCTGTAGTGGAGTGGCTGAGAAGAGGGTGGACTCAACACCTGAGTTGAATCCTTTTCATATGGTCTTTTAGTGTGACCATGGTCAAATTTCTTAACTTCTCTGTGTCTTAGTTCTTTTGATGGAAGTCTTACTTGATCTCTTGCCAAATTTAAGAAACAGTCTTTCCAGTAGCCAAAATGGTATCCTGTTCAGAAAGTGGTCAGTAGCTGGTCTTGCCATTGAACCCTCATAACTCTCA